AGAAAGAAAGAAAGAAAGAAAGAAAGAAAGAAAGAAAGAAAGAAAGAAAGAAGAGGAGTATTATGATGTACAGAGAATGTAAAATGAAATCTAGTGAAGAAGTGAGTAAATGTGAAAAAGAGAAAGAGTAATGGACTTGAAAAATAAGTGCTATGTTCTCTCTCAAAGAATTCCCAGATTTGAAAAATAAATGGAAAAAATTATATAGTTTTAATTAGTTTAGTTACTGCATAAAACACTCAGCAAAATTATCTGATAAATACTAAGAATAAAGATGAAAAAAAACAAACAAGATCTCCATGGCCTAGAACCATCTGCTATAGTGATCAGTTCTGTCCTTACTACTTACTTAATGTCTGTATTGGTTTCTTTTTGCTAGTGTAGCAAATCACCACAGAGGTAGGGGATTAATACAACCCCAAAATGTTAACTTAAAGTGCTAAAGGGAAAGGTTAAAATGGACTTCACGGAGCCAAACCAAGGTGTTGGCAATGCTCTAAGGGAGAGTTCTTTCCCTCAGAGCTGCATCTGTGGCTGTCCTTGGCTCATGACCCCCTCCTTCTTCCATCATCAAAGCCACCAGCCTAACATGGTCAAAGGTATCTCTGCCTCCACTGTCACATCAGCCTAATCTTCCCATCCACAAATCCTTAACTTAATGATCTACTCAGAGTCCACTGCCCATAAGGTAACCCTCAGAGGTTTCAGGGACTAGGACATGGACATGTTGGGCAGAATTATTCTGCTTACCATAATATCCAAAGATGAATTTTATTTCTCTTTCTCTCATTAATGTTATAAAAAATCACACACTCTTCATTTTTTTCACTCCAAAGAGTTGGAAAATTAGGTGGAAAAAAATTTTCCTCATCCAAAATTGTCAAGTTAAAAGGAAACACCCTTGAATCAATCATAACTCAAGTGATAGTGAAAAGAGCGGGGGAGATGTGAGATGGCACTCTTGCCCTCAAAAATTAAAAATTTGCTAACCGGTTTGTGAAAATCCCTAAGAGATTATAGAATAGGAAGTCCACCACATCATAGTTAAGGATGTTAAATCTGTTCAATTTATCACTTTCCTAATCACATGTATTTCAAGTTACAACCTGCATTTCAAAGTATGTGACCAAACTTCTCTTCTTCCTATTACATGCAGTTACAAATTCCAGGCCTCAGACAATTCTCCAGTAGAAATGCCCAACGTTAATTCTTTCTTTCACCCAGTCTCATCCCATCCTGCCCCAATCCTTCCATCTACTTTCTCTAACTCAATGTCATTGTCCTGCTCCCATGTTTAGGAACATGGTGTCTTGCGATGGGGATTTCATGTATTTTCTGCATGGGATTTTTAACAACTTCCATTTTCTTGGGCATCATGTGTAAGTAAAAAATGATATCTTCAAAACAATCCTCATGTATGTATCATCTATTACATATTGCTTTATACTTAACCATCTATGTATATAATTATACACAGAATCTCTTAATTTATAAATGGATAAAGAATCAAGAAATATCTGAATGCATACAAATGATATAAAATAATGCCTTCCAACTTTAAATTGTAGAACATTTATTTGATATAACTCTGAGCACTTGGCTGCCAGTGATAACATTCAATGATCAACAGCAACAATGATCAATAACAATGTTGTTATTTAATTCAAATTTATGCCACTGGTCTATAGAAAAAAGAACAATGCAAATCATTACTTATATTCAATTGAATTTGTGAGTCATGTTGGCATGCCAAAGCATGCAGTTTGAAAGATCTCAGAATATGCTCTTCTGTTTCTAACATACATTTATTCTAAACTTGATTTTTTTCAGATTATTTTAATGTTTCACTTTTTATTAGACAAGCTGCAATTTAAAATGTGTAATGCAAGCCTGGGGGTTTCTTCATAGAGACTATATTTAGCCACTTGGCTTTATTCCTTTTAGTTCAAATTGGAAACATGTTTTCATGTCTGGCAAAAGAAATTTTTATAAATATAATAAGTATAGAGCACCAGATTCTGGAAAAAGAACTAAGAACCTCTAACATCACTTAGACTAGCAATAAGAAAATATATCTAGAAAGACAAATATAAAGGTTATTGTTTGGATAATTTTTCTTTCTTCTTTGTCTTTGCAAATTATTTCTCTATCTAGAAGGCATCAGTTCGAAAGGAAGAATTATGATTTCTGAGAATAGGGAAGGGAGAAAGTTCACATGTGCTCTTACAAATTACAAAATGTTTAATCTCACACATACAGTTGTATAAGCTTCAATTCCTGCTTTTAGAGGAATGTTGTGCAAATTATTGAGAGCTAAACCCCAGTAATTGTTACCAAGTCTATCTCCTCAAATAAAATGTCACAGCCCAGCAAAAACGTTAGAACTTTCGCTTTCCTTATCTCTCTCTACCCTCCCTTTGGACCTCTTTTACAAAAAAATCTATTTTAAGCAAATGCTAATTCCTTTTTTAAAGAAGCTCACAAGTTCAATATCTGTTTATCAATCCCACATTGGAAACAAATCAATTGAAAGAGACCAAACAGATAAGTCAATCAATCCCTAATAGTCCAGATTCTTCTGTAAAAACTAAAGACTTTTAATGACATTGTCAAGCTCTATTATAACTCCACACTGTAAGAATACATATTTAACTTCCATTGCAAATAGCAAAGATAATGCTCTAACCATCGATTTTATATAATGAATTTCAATGTTGCTTTACAAATATTAACCATTTGGGATAAAAAGATGAAAGAAACTTGAAGTACAAAAAGCGTTTTCAAGTAAAAACAGAATTGTGATGCAACATCTTACAGTTGCATATATCTCAGTGTATCATATATACAGAGATCATGAATACATTTATGCCTTTGTGGGATTTAATGTGTTGATTATTTGTAGAAATTGGAGTGCTTACATTCTACTAATTAACATAGCTTTCACCTCATGTACTTAATCACAGTTTTAAGACATTTGTGTTCAATACTTGATAGATTTGACTTGTACCCTTGCAATATACTCCATAGGTGTTGTCCCACCATTAACCTTCCCTCTATTGAACCAACCGCCTCCCTTCTCATGTCCCTCCTCTTCCCTCCTTAATCTTGGGCTATAGTTGTGATTCTTCTCTCATATGAAAGTGTGAGTGATTATAAACCGGTTTTATAGTAGTATTGAGTACATCAGATATTTTATTTCCACTCCTGAGATACTTTACTAAGAAGAATATTTTCCCGTTCCATCCATGTCTCCATCTTTTTTAATGCTGCATAGTATTCTATGGTATATATATACCACAATTTATGGATCCATTCATGAGTAGAGGGGCGCTTGGGCTTCTTCCATGACTTGGCAGTTATGAATTGAGCTGCAATGAACAATCTGGTGCAAATATCTTTGTTGCCGGTGATTTTTGGTCTTTTGGATATACATCTAGTAGAGGAATTGCAGGATCAAACGGCAGGTCTACATTTAGATCCCTGAGTGTTCGCCAGACTTCTTTCCAAAAGGAACGTACTAGCTTGCATTCCCACCAGCAGTGTAGAGGTGTTCCCTTTTCTCCACATGCGCGCCAACATCTGTAGTTTTGGGATTTTGTGATGTGGGCTACTCTTACTGGAGTTAGATGATATCTCAGAGTGATTTTGGTTTGCATTTCTCTGATGATTAAAGACGATGAGCACCTTGCACTCTTAAGAGAAATGTCAAAACCCATGTTTAAGTTATATATGTTTGTACCTTAGAAAAGGGACATGTTTCTGAAAATTTGTTCTTTTATTTAAAATTATCATTACATGAAAGTAATGAATGTACTAATTGCAAATTGTTCACATATATTATTAAAAGGGAGTTTATACATATCTGACAATAGATTGGTAAATTTAATCATGTTATATTTACATTAGAAAAATTCAGTGTAGTAATTTAAAGAAATCTTTTAAAACCATTATTATTGACAAAGAGATAGGGTTATACAGCATTTTCCTGTGATACAAACAGATTTTTAAAAGTCATCTATAGAAAGAATACTGTTTCTTCCTAAAAATTATATGTAGAAAAAAGTTTCAGTAGACATAAACCAAATACTAAACCTAACTTGAGTGGAAGGTTTCAAAGTAGACCTAATTTGCTTATCATTTTATTTATGGTAATTAATTTTAATTTTCAAATCATCATAGCACAATTTTTTTTAAGAAATCAGGTGTTTAATTTGTTTTTACTATTTATTTTCATTTTCTTAATTTATAATGTATAACATCACATAACAAATATTTTTTATTTTAGGAAGTTTAAAAGTATTTTGTTATTTTTCCCTGGTAATTATATTGTTTAGTCTTTATTCTTTACTTGCTGAAAATTTATTCCCACCTCAGCCTCCATAAAGGTGCAGTATTTTGCTTCCCATTTATGGTAAAACTCTAAAGAGAGGTCTCATTTCCCTTCTTGCAGTTTTAGTACACTTTCCTACAGTACAAGCTATTCAGATGGTAACAAACAAAGCAACAACAGTTTATAAAATGTAGCTGATCTGAAAAAATATATATAAAATTTAAAATTTTAGAATTATACTCCTAATTTCTAAAAGGAAGATTGTTATGTGTCAATGTCTAAACATGCCATATTATTAATGGGATAAAATAAAGAACATCATTGTCCTACTCTCTGCTTCGGTTTGGTCTAATCTTTTGCTAAGAGAGAAAATAATTCAGGCAACTTCAGTCTGGGTTTTGTGAACTATCCACAGATGAATAAGAGTATAAACATGTAACTGCTCACAAATGCAAGTGATGCCAAAAAGCAATGACATGAACAAGGCACGATTGTGGGGCAAGGGATATTAGCCTCTGGGAAGATAGAACCTCCCAAAGTCCAGTAAAGAAACACGATCAAATTTTTCTTTAATTTGAATATCAGATTGCAGTCAGTTCTATGCATTTCACTTGAAAACTGGCAGATAAAATATTTATGTCAATTGGAAATGGAGTCACAAATATTGATAGTTTTCCCAGAAATCTTTAAACCTGTTTTCAAATTCTTATATCAAAGTGAAAAGCAGAACTGCATATTTTTTGCTATTCATAGGAGTGTACTTAGCTAATGTGTCAAAATGCATAAAATTGTTTGCCTTAATTTGAGAGTGCCATAATTTCAGTTTCATTTGGAACGCTTTTATAGTTTGAAACATTATATTGACGAGTTGGTTTTTGCCTTGAAGTTGGTTTTCACTTAACTCATTTAGAAGAGCCGTTAAATCCACCAAAAATGCTAAATCTGTAAGCCATTTTTTATTGTTATATTCTGGCACAAATTTGGTTTTTGATACAATAAACGACTTGAAAACATGTTGCAAGTCATACAGTCTCTTCAACATTTGCCCCAACGTAAGCCATCTTACTTCTCAAAAGTAAGAGATGTTGCCCCATAGTCAGCATCAAAACCTTTAAGGAATTCCTGGAACTGGCAACGATTCAATCCCGTAGCCCTTAGGAAATTCACAGTCTTGATGAAAATTTGCATGACATTGTCGGTTCTCAAAGTTTCTGTGCATACATTTTATTGATGTACTATGCAATGATACTTTGTTAAACATGAATTTTAGGCAGGAATTAGATCATCTTCTATATTACAAGTCCCTCTCTTTTACCTAACATTGCCAGGGCACCATCAGTAACTATGCCAGGTATATTGACAATGGACAAAGAAAATCACTTGAACATATTTTTTACTGTTTTGTATAAATTTCTTGATTTAGTTTTGTCTTTTAATGGCACTAAAGGAGCCATTTCTTCAGTGACGTCATATTTGTCATCAGTACTTCTAACGAAAATGGCAAATTGAGCTGTATTCGTAGCATCAGTGCTGTCATCCATTGCCAAAGCATAAAATTTAAAATTAGCAGCTTTACTCTCTAAACTTCTTTCAGTGGATTTTCTGATTTCTTTAATTCATGTGGCTGTCATCTGGTGAGAGAAACTGATTTTAGCAATGTCTCCCGCTTTTTAGGGCAAATTATATCTGCTGTACTTTTCATACTTGTTTAATAAACTCACCATTAGCAAATAGTTTTGATTTTTTTTTTTTTTTTGCTGTTAAATGTGCTACCACATAACTAGCTTTTCCAATGGCACTTGCCTGAGTTGTAACTTTAAAAAAAATTTTTTTTATAGAGAAGGCAGACTTTTTTTCAGTTCCACTATTTTGTCCTTACAATAATTCTTTATATGCATTGAATTTGGCCGTATGTTTTTGCATATAATGCCTTTTCAAATAATCTTTGAAAATGTGCGCAATTTCCCTCCAAATTATTGGGAGTGCTTTACTATTTGCCTATGCCAAAGAGGAGTATTCTGTGTACTCTTAATAATCTTCTTTCATCTG